TGATGCAGAAGACGATATGTTGTTAAGGCAAAACTGTGCATGCCCCTTTTTATCACACGCATTTATAAGCTTTAGAAGCAGAAAGCAATGACCCACTGACCCCGGAGTTCCTCAAATGGAGAAAATACACACTAGAGGAAATCGGGTTTACCCATTTTATTTTTTTAAATTTTTTTTTTAATTTTTTTTCAACATTTTTTATTTATTTTTGGGACAGAGAGAGACAGAGCATGAACGGGGGAGGGGCAGAGAGAGGGAGACACAGCATCGGAAACAGGCTCCAGGCTCCGAGCCATCAGCCCAGAGCCCCACGCGGGGCTCGAACTCACGGACCGCGAGATCGTGACCTGGCTGAAGTCGGACACTTAACCGACTGCGCCACCCAGGCGCCCCAGGTTTACCCATTTTAGGAGAGCCACATAAAAACCTCCAGTCAGTGTTATTTTTAGTAGTAAAATTCTGGAAGCAATGAAAACATTCATTACTGAAGAATGGGTAAATAAATTGAGTATGGTCACACAATGGATTAAACAAAAATGAGTAAAGGGTACATTTATTAAAATCAGTAAACTTCAAATACATATTTTTATGTGTATTTATTTTGAGAGAGAGAGAGAGAGAAAGAGACTGAGGGAAGGGCAGAAACAGAGAGGGAGAGAGAGAATCCCAAGCAGGCTCTGCATTGTCAGTGCAGAGCTCGACACAGGGCTCGATCTCACCAACCATGAGATCTGAACCTGACCTGAGCTGAAAAGAATCAGGTGTTCAAGCGACTGAGCCACGCAGGCACCCCAAAATACATAATTTAAAAAAAAAAATTTTTTTTTTCAACGTTTATTTATTTTTGCGACAGAGAGAGACAGAGCATGAACGGGGGAGGGGCAGAGAGAGAGGGAGACACAGAATCGGAAACAGGCTCCAGGCTCCGAGCCATCAGCCCAGAGCCTGATGCGGGGCTCGAACTCACGGACCGCGAGATCGTGACCTGGCTGAAGTCGGACGCTTAACCGACTGCGCCACCCAGGCGCCCCTCAAAATACATAATTTTAAGTGAATAAAAAACATGTTGCAAAGTGATCTGACAGTGTTATGTTCCTCCTGTATTAGTGACAATATGTTTATAGTGACAATACATATTATATATATGTTATATATAAAACCATAAATGGCTGGGGTGCCTGGGTGGCTCAGTCGGTTGAGCATCTGACTTCAGCTCAGGTCACGATCTCACGGTCCATGAGTTCGAGTCCCGCCTTGGGCTCTGTGCTGACAGCTCAGAGCCTGGAGCCTGCTTTGGATTCTGTGTCTCCTTCTCTCTCTGCACTTCCCCTGATCACACTCTGTCTGTCTCTCTCTCAAAAATAAATGAAGATGAAAAAAATAAATAAAGCCATAAATGGAGAGACACACATTCACTCAGCATCTCTGGCAACAGATAGGAGGGAAATGTGATGGGGGTGGGAACAGATTTTCTGCAGTATATGTATAAAGCTTTTTTGTAATAGATGGAAATACTAATATAATACTAATATAATAGATGGAATACTAATATAATACTAATTGTACTAATTAAATCTGGGTGATGATTACACAGATCTCTGCTCTATTAATATCTATATGTTTTTATCTTTACAGAAAATCACAGTTAAGAAAACAACAAAAAATATGATATTAGGTTGAAATAAGCAGAGACAACATAGCTGCTCATTAGAGATATTTGAATCCAACTGCATCTTTCACAAAGCAAATCAGCATCAGGGAGTTCTATTTTATTTCAAATCAACCCTGCCTTCCTCCCTGAAAAATAGGCATTTTGTTATCTGCCACGACTCCTTAAGCTTTCTAAAGAGAAGAGCTATGAATGCTACAGAGTAAATAAGATCCTTCGAAAATCCTAAAGTCTAACTGGTATACTTTATGACACAAAGTGCATGTGCTACACTGAATAGTAATGACAAATTTGTGGTCAGCGTGCGTCCATGATTCCATAGTACATTCAGGCGCAAGTTAATATTTAATCCAATGTTTATCCCCATTTAAAACTCAAATAGTCACAAATATATTAGAAAACTGTAATGTTATTTCAAAAACACTATAGTGGAAGGTATAGGCTTCCAGAAGAAAAAAACAAAAACAAGAACGTTGTATGTTTCAAACGGTACCATTCACAGAATTATAAAAAAGGGCTGTTTCTAATCTTGAGAAGAAGAGTCCAAAGAAAGAGTTTCTAATGAAGCAGAGCTATTTAGAGCCTGGTGCGTCCCTAGGAGATAGTGAAATTCTATAAATCGGAAGAAAAAAACAATGGTAATGACATGGAAGAAACCTTGCAGCTTGCCTATGTAGAGTTGCCTATAGAGAATGAGAACTGAAGCCTTATTTCTTCTGCAAATATATACTTTCAAAATGGGATTTCTTAATAGCACCCTGCTGCTTTTATTGGAAAGGCAGTTAGAAATCATACAAGTTTCACTTCGTATTTCAGCTCTCATGCCACATTTAATAATATAATCTCAAATAAGGCCACATGGTGAGGCATAATTCTGCTGCTCATAATAAAAAAAAAGTGCCATTTTCAGAAGATGTTTAGAACATGCAGTGAAATCGTTCATGCGTACCCAAAGCTGGTTTTGTGTTTGACACTAGCATATAGAGTAGGCAAGCCTCAAGTTATCATCAAAAAGGTGCAATCATTGGGGAAAAAAATAAGGCATTTTGTTTGTAGACAAGAAAAATTACTTGGAAATGCTATTAACGTAAGTACTCTATTAATGAAAGTTAACTTAATAATCACAATGTATTTGTGTTTTCTGTGTCAACAAAATGCTTCACTGGATGAGAATAATATAATGTAGAAATGGAGGGAGAAAAATTGACGCTAAACTAATAATTGGATTTTTTCCAGCTGCTTTGGCACATTTCTCCATAATACTTTTATAGTCCTAGAATATTCAGTAAAAAAGCTCTAGGAAATTATGCATCAGTTCATAATCACAAATAGCCTCTATAAAATATTTATAATGTACTCTCCTTTAATTTTCAGACTAGAATATTAGATTTAGATACCGTCTGTCCATGTCTTTGATTTGTAGTTGAGGAAACTGAGGTCCAAAGAAGTCCATTGTCACAGCTATTGGAAGGGGCACCCAGAGCAGAAAACTCTCAGGTTTGTGTTCATTCCGTGACACCTGAACGGTTTTTCTCCTTAAAAAAATGTAAAAAAGAGGCAAGTCAATGGAGTGAACCAGCTATAAAGCGCCATTAAAAGACGAACAGTAACTATGTTATTAATGACGGTAGTTGTTACATAACAAGAAAATGAAGTTTTCGTGTCAAATTATCATCGTAGAAGAGGATTGAAAAAGGGCTTTGGCCATCAGAAACAACAGGGAGAGTTCTGAAAAGATTGTTCTTTAGTTGTGTTTACTAACAATTTCTACAAGCTTTTATGTAAAAAAAAGTAGTTTAATGCCGAGAATCTTGCTAGTCGCTGGGAATACAAAGATGAGTAAGACGTTCCCTGCTTTGAATGCTGTTAACGGCCTTTGTGGGAGACAATGCTACGTCCAAGTACAGTAACAGCAGTGAGGAAAGTTTGTAGAAATGGCTATGGGACATCTTACTACAAGCAGAGATCAAAGGAAACTTCACGGAGTAAACCACCTTCCAGGAGTTTTGAAAGGTGGGTCCAGTTAGCAAAGTGTGAGACCACTGATGCAGAGGGTAGGTTAGAGGATAAAGATGGAAAACAGGAGGGTCAGAGGAAGAGAGAGGCCAGAAAGGCAGGAGAGACTCGAGCAGGTGAGGAGCAGCAGGGGGGTGAGGGACGCAGCACAGGAGGGGGACAGGCAATGGGAGGCAAGGCTGGAAGCTGGCAGGGCCGTTGTCCCCTCAGCTGTGTTCTCCAAGAGCACGGTGCATGCCAGCCCTGCTCCCCACACTGGGCACATGGTTGGAAGACGGCGGCAAGCATCCTCTCACGCCTTTCAAATGCTGCTGCCATAGGAAAGATGGGAATTTAGGCTGTGAAAACTGGAAAGGGGTGGAAGGATTCTGAGTTGGGCAGTTACTCGATCAGGTTTGGGTTTCGGAAAGCCGATTCTGGGAGCACTTGGGCGGCTCAGTTGGTGGAGCCTCCAACTTCGGCTCAGGTCACGATCTCACAGTCTGTGAGTTCGAGCCCCGCATCGGGCTCCGTGCTGATGGCTCGGAGCCTGGAGCCTGCTTTGGATGCTGTGTCTCCCTCTCTCTCTGCCCCTCCCCAGCTCAGGCACTGTCTCTCTGTCTGTCAAGAGTAAATAAACATTAAAAAAAGTAGAGAAGAGGAAAAGAAAAGAAAAGAAAAAAAGAAAAGAAAAGAAAAGAAAAGAAAAGAAAAGAAAAGAAAAGAAAGAAAAGAAAAGAAAAGGAAAGGAAAGAAAGCTAATTCTGGCAGTTCTGATGAGGGTAAACTGAAGAGGGTGATATTCTGAGCCCAGGAACTTATTTCTCAGACTGAGAATTTCTTTTTCAAAGTAGTTTCATAGTCCAGGAAATCTGATAGTGTCTGGAGTACAGGAAATGCAGGCTGGTTTCTGTTTCTGTCCACTCCTGCCCTAGTCCCCCACACCTCCCAAACCCCTCCTGTAGTGAGGAGAAACCTCGCATATCATTCTCTAAGAAGAGGCAGAAAAGACTGAAAATAGGTTCCTAAATGGCAAAAAGACGCTACATATTGGAAAAGAGATAAACGGAGCTAGCGTTCCATCAGCTCTGGTTCTAAGAAATGTCGTGTTGATTGCAGGAGTCTTTGGAAAATGTCACTGCCTTGTCCTCCTGAAACATCAATGTCTCATGCGGCCTTCAGGGAAGGATTTCATCCATCCGTCTGCTCTCACAGAACTGGATGATTTAAACTCCTGTCTCTGAATTTTAACTTGCCCAGGATGACTTTCCTCTTTTGCTTTGCCTTCTCTGTTGTTTACTCAAAATCCAGGGTATATCCTGCCTTTTTCACTTACCTTTTCCTAATGGCCTTAGTCCTTTCTCTGAACTTCTGTTTCTTACTGTCTGGATGCTTTCATGTTTTTTTCTTCATGTATCATTTTGTAATCCTAGAATGTAACACAGTGACTCAAATATAATATTTACTAGTAATATTTGTGGAAAATAAAGGGTATGAAATTAAAAAAAAAAAAAGAATAAAGAGTCCTCAGGTTTGGTCCAATTGTTAGGCACAGGCTCACTTCTGAATTTGTTTATATGAAGATTTTCTTGAGTAAACTCTGAGAAATACATGTCTTAACCATAGGATCACAATACTAACTACATGACTGCTCCATACAACAGCCTATAATATTATAATTAGAGATTACCTTGTTGGAAAATGGAGATTAAATATGTCATGTACCAAATTAAAATTAAACTAAGAATATGTTTATTTTAAAAATTTTTTTTTAATTTTTTTTTTCAACGTTTATTTATTTTTGAGACAGAGAGAGACAGAGCATGAACGGGGGAGGGGCAGAGAGAGAGGGAGACACAGAATCGGAAACAGGCTCCAGGCTCTGAGCCATCAGCCCAGAGCCCGACGCGGGGATCGAACTCACGCACCGCGCGATCGTGACCTGGCTGAAGTCGGACGCTTAACCGACTGCGCCACCCAGGTGCCCCTATTTTTAAAAATTTTTTAAGTTAAACTGAGAATATTTTTATTTTTGAAAAATATAAATCTGACTTCATTTTAGAAAAGAATTGTGTTGTTCATAAATACTTGATGATTTTTAAGATAAAATAGTGTTCTAGATTTTTATTTTGAAGATATACATTTAAATTGAAGATATAAAATTAAATAAAAAAATTTAAATTTTGTTCTTTTTGAGCGAGCGAGAGGGTGAGCAGGGGAGGGACAGAAAGAGGGGGAGAGAGAGAGAGAATCCCAAACAAGCTCTACCCATGCTGTCAGCACAGAGCCCGAGGTGGGGCTCAGTCTCACCACCACGAGATCACAACCTGAGATGTTACCAAGCGTCTGGCACTTAACCAACTGAGCTACCCAGGCACCCCTAAATCTATCAAAACATTTAAAAAAGAACTTTTATTTTAAGTAAGGCGTAAATAACTGCAGATACTTTCCTTTCAGCACCTACCTTCAAGGCATTGACGTAGGGGAACTGAAGGGAGTCCATTTTGGAAACGCTCCATCTTGGCTGTGTCTCCGCCGGTCCCATTTCCTCATGTTCTGTGTTTCACCTTGCATCTGAGTAAACTAAAGAAGCTATGTTCCTACTCCAAGGGGGAGACAAGAAAGTTAATCATTCTCTGGTGGGAAAACATCCTTGGTCCCCCCACACCTGATAACATCTAAGAGCAAATCTCTGTCAATGCTGGTGCCGATACCCTTACCTTCAGTGATTTCTGGAATAACACCTCTTGTTCACTTGACACTTACCTTTGATCAGACCCTACCCTGGATGCCTGAAGGAACACATACACTGAACTCCTTTCAACATAAACCTCTGACCCCAAGCAATGAGGAAGCGGCTTACTTCTCCTCTTCCAAGTCTCCCAGACACCCTATCTGCTGTAGTCTGGCACTTACCTGACTCAGTAAACTCCCCTCTTATTTCCTCCTGGCTCCCATTTGATTTCTGTCAGGTGAAGCTGGTCCTTCGGGATGCCCTGTGGATTCTCGAACCCGGCTTGCCTGTATCAGCACTTATGGGAAAGATCAGGCACGTTTGAATGACTAAAAGAAAGCCAGAGAGACCAGACCACAGAGAGGCAAAGCTAAAAATGTAGGCAGAGGTTTAATCGTGTTTGGTCTCCAGGGCTTTGTGAAATATTTTTATGTTCATCCTCTTGGTGATAAAGGTTTTTTTTTTTTTTTCTGATGTTTAACATTTAATATCTGTGTAATCTCATGCGAGCTAATTAGCCTATATAAACCTCAGTGTAATCAGGGAGTTGTTGGGAAGGGTAAATGAGATCATGTATATTACTTAGGCAAAATGCTTAGCACATAGCATTCAATAAGTGTCGACTATTAATCTTACAAATATATTGCATGGTGCCCCATTCAGACCGAAGGAAGAGGAGGGCGTTGATGATAAAGGGTAGTGTCTTCATGCGTCGAGACTTACTTAACATGTATTGTGATTACTTGAGAATAGTCTTTGACCTAAAATATTCTCTCTCTAGTCAGGTTCCCTCATCTTTCTGACTAAAGGTAGATCCAGGCAATACACTATTGCAATACCAGTGGCCCAGGCGACTCCAGCCCGCTCTCCCCAGCAGTAGTGGTCTCCTTTCTTTCAGTCCACATTCCGTGCAGGCTCCGAGCTTCTAGCACAAAGGCTAAGATCCTTACTCACCTTTGTTGCATGAAACCTAGTGTTAGAGGGGAGATTTTGCCCCCAGTCCTGGCGGGAGCTCCAGTATAAAATCTGCCTGCATTTTCCTCCTTTATGCAGTGGCCATTGGAGGAATAGACCAAACAGGAATTCTCCAAGAAATGCTTGCATCATTTTCCTCTGGGGAGCAAGGGGTTCCCAGGACTTGGACATTCCACCTCTGTGGGGGGGTCCTCCTCTGCCACTTAGTGGGTAAGCTCCTCATGTGAGCATTCTGTTGGTGGCCTTTCTGCCATCACACAAAACCCCAATCTCCAACAGAGCCTTTATAAGTTATAGAGCTGATGTCTTCGCCATGACGTGATGCACTTTTTTATTTCTTAATTTGTTTGGAACGAAGGAGGGGGAATACTATTTGCTGGCCTGCTCGAGGCCACAGCCCTTCGTGAAGAATAGGTATTCACTAGATTTTTGCTGAATGACTAGAGATAGCACTTAATCAAACTCAATAAGAGAAGAAAATTTAATTAGCCTTAAAGTCTTGTAAGTGCAGCTATGCTTTAAAAAAATCCTGTGCTTGCAAAAGCTGTTGATTTAATAAATTTTTTTTTGCCAAGTAATGAGCTCTGTGAATATTTATCTCTTCAATATTATGTAGCAGGCATATTAGTTAGTAAAAAATAGACCACACACATTCAGTGGCAAACAGGACAGTTAATCTTGAGTTTTCAAATGATTATAATCATGAGTGTAGGCAACTAGGAAAATCTATATGTTGGATTGGAAAGGAAAAAAAAATGATGCCAGTATCAGCATAAGCCAATTGTAGGGTGATTTCTTGTCTGTACTATCATAAAATCTTTCGTATGCTTCACCGTCCCAAAAGATCACTTTTAACCACATTTGGTATTGTTTACATTCATTTTTAGGATAACCTAAAAGTTTATTTCATTTTAATGACTGAGAAAATTTGGAGGATTTTTCTATTCACCCACCACTGTGACATTAGGATGTCCTTTTAGAGTCAAAATGCAGATGCTTTTAGAGTCAGATGTGTGTCACATGAACACTTTGAAGAAGGTTAAAAGCACACTGAAGTGTTGCCTTTATTAAGGCACAAGTTAGAAAGCTCAGTTAGTTGCCTCCTAAATAACACATTTAATTTCTACACCTTTTTTTTTTTAGGAAATAAAAGAAGGTGCTAAGTTTAATTGTTTAAGAAAATAATAGTCACATGGACTGTATTTCACACTTTGATCAAATTCAAGTTTTCATATACAACTAACCATAAAAATGCCTTGTGAATTTCTCAGCCTGACTGTGGGTGGACTTCATTAATTGTGTGTTGTACTTCTCAGATACTTGTGTGGGTTTCTCTTCAAAAACCACTACACACACACACACACACACACACACACACTTCCACAGATGTCCTATGGACTGATTTGATATAACTCTTCCTCTTCATTATTTGCTTTTGTGGAGATCTTCTGTGGAGATCTTCACTAAGTATTTTTGGTACTTAGCTTCAAAAAGATCTTTGTAGCCTTTGTAGCCTGAAAGAAGGATGGAAAGTGTGATTAACAGACTAAATACCTGAAACTAGAATAAACCAAAAAGCTCTAAAGTAATCCAAATAGTTAAGAACACTTTGCACTTAAAGAAGTACATACTCTTTGAATGAGAATTATGTTTCAGGTAAATGTTTCCAGCCATGCATATGATTGGATTATTTGACCTTTGGAAAGTTTCTTCCCGCTGAGAAGGTTTCAGTTACTGTCTGTATGTCTGCACAATCAAAAATAGTGCATGGATTCAACTTATACAGGCTGATTGGCGGTCATTTTTGTATCACCCCCGGCCTACACACTTCCCTCACCACAATCATGTCCTGGAACTGGCAGATCACCAAAGATAATCCTATTAAACTCACAAGACAGTTTTGTGGTTTAAAGTATTTAAAGTCTCCAGAATTATTGTATAACCAACTCCTCATTTTTTGCCAAATGGCTTGAACTCTGTACGCTTTTCAAGGAATGTTCTACCCTTACAACTCTTGGATGAGGTTTCTCAGATCGCCATGGGAAAGACCAACGTTTTAGTCTGTGGAAGTGTTCCCTATCAACACAGGAACCCGACCAACTCCCAAATTGTCCATGAAAAGCAAGCAGAGTCAAGCACACACAGGGACAATAGGTTCAACCCGTTTTTTGTTGAGGTCATTGTTGGTTTCGTTCAGTCATCAAACAAATATGCATTCAGAATTGTGGTCTTGGTGCTCCATTAGCCACTGAATGGTTTTCTCATGTGATGTGAATGAATTCTAAAATGCAGCCATGTTTTTTCTGTCATGCCAGTGTAGACATGTTAAACCACAAACTATATTGTCTCCAAACTTGTCCTTTGAGAACCCCTCACTTCTGCATTGTCATTGTGTATGCGTATGTGTGCATGTGTGTAGGCTAAAGATATGTACCTACTCTCTGTAAAGTTATCTTTCCTTCTAGGCTGTGAGCTATCCCACAGCATGTGCTTTTGTTGCCCAACATTTAGTCAATGACTAAACTATGTAATAGTTGCCCAGAAAACGTATAGGACAAGAAAGAATAACTTCATTTGGTTAATAATTAAAATATATATACCTCTTTGAATTTTAAAGATAGATGCACTGTTGCCCTAAAAATCTTCTAGATTTATTAGAATTTCAATGTTTTATTGTAATACATTTTAAAAAATGAGTAGAGCTGATTTTCAGAGTAAACTATACACTTATCTGTCCCTAAAAGACTGGACTTCGTGTTTTCTATAACTCAATACAAATCATAATTAATAGTGTTTAATTAAAACATCTAGCAAAGTTATCAAAAGGTGTCCTAGAGAACTTTATGAATGCTTTAATTTGCATTCTGTTAATATTTTAACTGGTACAAATCAATTGCAGGTGCTGGTATGAAAATTTATTTCAAGGCATCAGAGCTCACCCCTTAAGGCAACAACCCCCCAAAACACAGCAGCCATCACCCTTTCCCTGTGTGTCTCAAGAGGTGCAGAAAATTAAGGAGTTAAAAGGAAACCGGCCAAGTGGAGACTCTGCTTAAAATGATATACCCCAAATCCTGACCAATGTTCTTTTTGAAGTGTATATCACCCACGTATTTTACAATAATTGCCATGTTTCCTCTCTTTCTCTCTCTGTAGCAATTCTAATTTAATGGTAACATGCAGCATTTTAAACATTAGTTATGGCTTTGTTTTAAGCTCTCAGTTATGGTAGTTAATGGGCCCTCTCTTGGATGGGGGCAGAGAGCAGAGGGGAGATAAAAATATATTTAGTGTCTGATTAATAGAGACAGAAATCAATCTTAGTCAATTATCAGTATGGTACTCTTAAACTTATGAAAATGGCATATGTTGCATTTTGAAAACAATGATCCTTGAAATTCTTTAAATGTGTAGCAGTTCTAGCTAACTAAACTTTTAAACTTAGTTATATGAAAACAAATAAATAAAAATTAGGAATTATATTCGAAAAGAGTTCTCAGAGCGATCCATTCTTTTTTCTCTTGGGGGGGGGGAAGAGTTCCTAATATAATAAATTAAAGATGCAAGAGTCAGTTTTGTGTCCCTTTTAACAATATGAAACAGGGCCATTATCTTAAATAAATGTTCTTCATGAAACATCCACACGTCTTCCAGAGAGATGTTGACATATATACATGCATATACTCGCGTATACATGATTCATTTACTTATTCAGTCATTCAGAACATATTTACTGAATGCTGACCCTCAGCCAATGATGGCTATGGTTGGTCGCTCAGCAAAAACAGACATGTTCTCTGCTTTTGTGGAGTTCACAATCTGGTGAGCAGGGCTGTGGGAGGGACAGAAGTCACGACT